TATGAGGAGAAATGCATTAAACATTAACAACAATAATACATCATAAATAATATTATAATAGATACTCACATTTGAGGTTCTGCCTAGTACAGTAAATTCCTAGGCTTTGCAGTGAGCGAACACAAAAACTGAAACTCACTCAATCAGTCACATAACTTTCTGTGACAGTGCTGATCGTATACCATAATAAGTGCTTTATGAGCAAAGCAAGAGATTCTGGGAGTTATTGCTGAGTGGCTTCTTTATACTATAGAATTTACCCAGGAATAGAATGGCTGTTGGCAGTGAAATGGGGTACCTACTTCAGCAGTATTTAGAAGGTGAATAATAACGTATTGACTGTGTGTAATGACTCTTGCTGCCATCTTTGTCCTAGGTATACAACGCATGCCATCCACCTGATCTAAATAAAAAAAGGGTGATTTGTCAGACCAGGCAACTTTCTTCCATTGCTCCATGACCCAGTTCTGATGCTGACCTCCCCATTGAAGGTGCTTAGGGCGGTGGACAGGGGTCATAATGGGTACTCTGACCAGTATTCGGCTACACAGCCCCATATGCAGCAAACTGCGATGAACTGTGTATTTTTATACCTTTCTATAAGGGTCAGCATTAAAAGGACACTATATGCATCTCATTGAAGTGGTCTGGGTGCACTGTCCCTGTCCCCTTAACCCTGCAATGTAAAACATTGCAGTTTTAGAGAAACAGGGTTAAAATTGCCACTAGATGTGCTACCTGAGTTTGATTCCATGATATCATGCTGGAAGTCCTCACACTTTGCTTAAGGACATCCAGAGTCAAGTAAAGCCCTGTAGGAAAGCATTAAGTCATTAATGTTCATGTCATGATGTTCTCCCATCGGCTTTAGGTGGAGGAGAAATGCAACCCTTGGCGCTGGAATCAGGTAAGTGAAATAATTTTTTTTAACCCTTTTATGGACAAGGAGGGCTGCAGAGGCAGAGCTGCATACTGGAAAAACTTGCAGTTTTGGAGATGCTCTGACCCAGTCGTCTAGCCATCACTATTTAGTTTTTGTCAAAGTCACTCAAATATTTTAACTTACCCATTTTTCCTGCTTCCAACACATGAAATTGAAGAACTGACTTTTCACTTGTTGCCTAATACATATCACCCCTTGACAAGTGCCATTGTAACAATATAATCAATGTTAGTCACTTCACCTGTCAGTGGTTTTAATGTTGTGGCTGGTCAGTGTAAATTAAACATGTTGTGGCATAAAACACCATATATTCTATTTTCCAATTTATTGTCCCAAGCTAACAGATGCTACACTGATGTACTGAGATCTTCTCCTCATTTGGCAACAATGCCCCAAATTCAAGGCCTTTCAGAGGAATGCATATGTGGTTATATGACCTTCCTCTCCTATTTACTCCCTGCACTGAACCTAGGGCATCGTGTCTGTATTATAGATAGATTCCTAATAGTCATCTAATAAGAATTCCCTTATACCACTGAACTGGAGAGAACATTTCCAAGGTATCCTGGGTTAAGACAGCACAAAGAAAAACTAATTGCGCTTGATAAGCATAATTATTGTCCAGTGTAACAAGGCATTATGAAGTGGTCATGATGCTTGGAGTAATGCTTTATCTCCCCATCATTTAGAGTAAAAATAACTACACACTGCTCAAAAAAAATAAAGGGAACACTTAAACAACACAATCTAACTCCAAGTCAATCACACTTCTGTGCAATCAAATTGTCCACTTAGGAGTGACAATCAATTTCACATTTGTTGTGCAAATGGGATAGACAACAGGTGGAAATTATAGGCAATTAGCAAGACACCCCAATAAAGGAGTGGTTCTGCAGGTGGTGACCACAGACCACTTCTCAGTTCCCATGCTTTCTGGCTGATGTTTTGGGCACTTTTGAATTCTGGCGGTGCTTTCACTCTAGTGGTAGCATGAGACGGAGTCTACAACCCACACAAGTGGCTCAGGTAGTGCAGCTCATCCAGGATGGCACATCAATGCGAGCTGTGGCAAGAAGGTTTGCTGTGTCTGTCAGCGTAGTGTCCAGAGCATGGAGGTGCTACCAGGAGACAGGCCAGTACATCAGGAGACGTGGAGGAGGCCGTAGGAGGGCAACAACCCAGCAGCAGGACAGCTACCTCCGCCTTTGTGCAAGGAGGAACAGGAGGAGCACTGCCAGAGCTCTGCAAAATGACCTCCAGCAGGCCACAAATGTGCATGTGTCTGCTCAAACGGTCAGAAACAGACTCCATGAGGGTGGTATGAGGGCCCGACGTCCACAGGTGGGGGTTGTGCTTACAGCCCAACACCGTGCAGGACGTTTGGCATTTGCCAGAGAACACCAAGTTTGGCAAATTCGCCACTGGCACCCTATGCTCTTCACAGATGAAAGCAGGTTCACACTGAGCACGTGACAGACGTGACCGAGTCTGGAGACACCGTGGAGAACGTTCTGCTGCCTGCAACATCCTCCAGCATGACCGGTTTGGCAGTGGGTCAGTAATGGTGTGGCATTTCTTTGGGGGGCCACACAGCCCTCTATGTGCTTGCCAGAGGTAGCCTGACTGCCATTAGGTACCAAGATGAGATCCTTAGACCCCTTGTGAGACCATATGCTGGTGCGGTTGGCCCTGGGTTCCTCCTAATGCAAGTCAATGCTAGACCTCATGTGGCTGGAGTGTGTCAGCAGTTCCTGCAAGACGAAGGCATTAATGATATGGACTGGCCCGCCCGTTCCCCAAACCTGAATCCAATTGAGCACATCTGGGACATAATGTCTCGCTCCATCCACCAACGTCACGTGGCACCACAGACTGTCCAGGAGTTGGCAGATGCTTTAGTCCAGGTCTGGGAGGAGATCCCTCAGGAGACTATCCGCCACCTCATCAGGAGCATGCACAGGCGTTGTAGGGAGGTCATACAGGCACGTGAAGGTCACACACACTACTGAGCCTCATTTTGACTTGTTTTAAGGACATTACATCAAAGTAGGATCAGCCTGTAGTTTTCTTTTTCCACTTCAATTTTGAGTGTGACTCCAAATCCAGAACTCCATGGGTTGAAAAATTTGATTTCAACTTTTTAATTTTTGTGTGATTTTGTTGTCAGCACATTCAACTATGTAAAGAACAAAGTATTTCAGAAGAATATTTAATTCATTCAGATCTAGGATGTGTTATTTTTGTGTTCTATTTTTTTGAGCAGTGTATATATATATATTATAGTAAATTATTACATTAGAATTATTTGCGCATCCCTTCAACATATTTAGATTACTGTGGACATAATTCTCATTATGAAACTGCTCAAAGACAACTGAAGCAGTAGTCATGACCACATGTGATAAAATTCAGGGCTCAAAATGACCACTAACAAGCAGAAATTGAGCTAGGCTAAATGTGCTCTGACCCTCCATCCCACTTGCTGGAAAGATCTACAGTGCTGTTGGAATGCAGCAGCTTTTTTCTGCTCGCTGCACAGAGACTTCAAGCGTTACTCCAAGCACCACTTCAGCCAGCTGTAACAATTGTGATGCCAGGAGTAGCCTCGCCATGTTCACCAATAATGAGGGAAAAACAGTTTGCCCTCTTACCTGGGTCCCTGTTGGGCTCTGAGGCTCTTATGTCTGGTGACTCGCTTCCAGCTTTTGCAGAAGCAGATTAATTTGTCTTTCCCCAGCTTAATAGCACATTGTGCAAGGAAAACAAATATTTGCACAAACTTGACATTAGACAGCCTGGAACTCTTGTTCCGGACTGGTTGAGGACACCCCAACAATGCTGCCAGGGTGGAGTTGCAACTCTGACAGCAGAGTGGTTAAACTCTGTATGTTCAGCATTTACATATAAACTACAAGCACCATGACCACTTCAAATCACTGAAGTGATCATGGAGCTTGTTATAACACTTTAATGACTCCCCAAGATTGGGAGTTAAAAAAAAATAAAGCGCAAACCACTATCGTTTAAACATCTGCTAGTAACCCTGCAGCCGTCACCTAACACAGATACTTTACCATGCAGCGAGTACTCCCAGACGGCCGACAGATCTGTACTGGAAAGAGCTCAAGGAAAGTTCCTTTCTACTCATGTGTTCGGACACTTTAGCAGCACCCCATTATAAATATTTAAACTGTTTAAGAATGGTTTGACTTCTTATCTCGGGTATACTAGGCGTCGCTCCCCATCTCCAGTATATTAGCCATAGAGAAGGGAAATTTCTGTCTTGTGTCAAGCCAGATGGTGCACGGTTTAGCTCGTTGACAGAGAGACTAGCTGACTATCTCATCCAACGAACTTGTTGTGAAGGGCTTAGCCCAGGAAAGCTAAAGAAGCTCCTAGCTCTCTGGCTATTGGCATGGAGACAGCACAGACCACAGGTAAGAAGTCAAACTGTTTTCAAATGATTTGACTACTAACAAAAGGTGGGGAGGAGGTGAAACAAGAAGTCCTGGCACTATAACCACTACAGTACCACAATTAAATTAATAACATAATTGACCTCCAACTTCACAGGAATTAGTCATGTTTTGCATAATTACAATTTAATTCTACAAATTGTTCTAGCGAAGCTGCTTTCAAATGTGAGGCTAAAATGTTACATCCAAAAACTTGGTGCATCTGTGGCAATCAAGGACATACACACAAACGTATGTGTCATTAAATATACAGTTCAGAAAAAAACAATGTATTTTGAGGCATGAAATAAACACACTACATTGGATTACTGCCATTCCAATCACAGTATTTTAGAAGAGGAATACAAAATCTTTCTGGCATTACTCAAGATAAATGTCAGAACATTTGAAGGGATCAAATAATTACTACATTCTTGATTTATGCATTCTATAATTGCACCATAAAAAGTGTGTGGATAATATATATATATATATATATATATATTTATATTTTTTTTTTGTTACAGATTCTTGTTCTATGCACCGTAGAATTTCCATAGGACTATGAAAGGTGAGCAGAAAAGAACGTGTATGTGCACGGAGGAATTCACATTTTTCTTCTGCTTCCTTTGAAACCATCGTTTCCTTAACTCAATGATACCAAAAAAAAAAAAAAAAATTCAAGATGTTCTTATCAGGAATTATGTACTGGGGTATTGATGTTATCATTTAACTCTCTACTAGTTATTACCAACCTTACACAAATAACAGGACTGACTTCAAGGTTACCAGTTACTTTTCAGCATTTCTAATATGTTTAAATATTCTTTATATTCAGTATACTTGTGTTCGTGAGGTTTGAAAAATTAACTTAGAAATCCACATCATCTTCTAACCTGGCACTTCAAACTTGGCTTTTAGGCCATCATTATTTTATGTGCCACCCTTTTGCATTTAGCAGTCATCATTGAGGCTAAGCAATGTAATTTGTGCCCTGACTGTGCCAAAATCTTTAATACACATTTAAAAGAAAACCAGGCATGTATATAGGAAATTAAAAAACAAAACAGTCAACCTTCGTTATTGATGACTTGCAATGTACTCAATATTGAGAGAGAAGAACAGGAGAGGATGAATGTGAGAGGGGCAGGTAGAGTAAGAACACATGAGACAGGGAGATAAAAAGTGGAAGAAAAATGACAAGCGAGAACAGAGTAAAAAAAGAGAAGCAGGAGAGAGATAAGTAAAAAAGAGGAGAATGGGTGTGAAATATAAAAAGAAAAAGGAGGCAGAGAAACACAGAGGAAGGAAAGAAGGAGAGGGAATGAATGTATATAAAAAAATGATGAGTGAGATGGAAAGTGAAATAGAAAAACAGCATGAGTAAGGGAAGGTAGAGAAGGAAAGTAAAGAGTAAGAAAAGGAATGACAATAAGAAAAAAAAACAGTGAAAGAATGAAAGTGTAAAAAAACAAATGAGTGTGACATTTCAATAAACAGGTTTAATGGGGGACACTTAACACGTTATTCTGCTTCATGTGGTAGAAGTGAAATCCTCACCCTTGCTATTAGTTAAAGGATCTCTTTGCCCCTTCAGTATTTGTGTAACATAAAAGAAAAGGGGGTTTCTATGTTAAACATGTCATGGTCTCTAATGCTTAGAATGTGCTTGTCTGTTACAGCTCAGGTCCAATTCATGAACAGGGTAAAGTGATTGAAAACACCTTCAGATAGTAGATACCCATGCAATAATTGTAATCAACTGAAACATGCATCGATATTATAAAGCCAGCTTAGGTTTCAGTTTGTGAAAAGGGATCTTTGTCTTTTTAAAATGTCATTTGCTATTAAAATCCAATCCAGAGCCCATGAAAATAATTCGTGTTCTAAATTCGTTTAAAATTTACCAAGATTAAAACACAAAAAACAAAAACACACACAAACCAAAACCAACAAAACATAAAACAGGAAGAGCATAAAAATGGGAAACCAATGTACAATTCCAAAAGGTTTACTTTATTTATCCAGAACCAAAGATGTTCATGTTTCGCAGTTGTAAAGTGGAGATGTTGCAATGTCCTACTACACAATGTATTATTGTCTCCGTTACAGTAGGAGATAAGTGCTAAATTGAAGACATTTTCTGGCTTCCACATAAAAGAAGCGACATAACAAAACTTGATGTGTCAGAGAACAGGACATTAGAATCAAGGGTTTATGCTGTGTTTATCTGATTGAACAATTTATCCTTAATCACTTGAGACATCAATCCATGGATGGCTTCAATCGTTGTTTTACAGCTGAAAATAAAAACACTAGATTAGAGCAATCATAGGGCAAGATGTGCATTTTATTAATAGCAAGGTCCTGAATCAGGAGACAGTAAATCAGATGACAGATTGCAAAACATATTCTAAAAACGTACTCTACAGTTGGCATAGTGTAATGGGAAAATAGACCCAACAAGTGGAGCATGGAACATTAGTTATTATCTAGAACAACTTCAATAGCTAGTAGGCAACTGCATTATGAAATAGATGCAGGCCAAATCATGATTATTATACAACCGCAAAAATAAAGCTCACAATACAAAATTGCAATAAAATTGTGTAAAGCCATATTACTAGCAGTGTTTGACAAAATAACCAACAACAAAACTCAGGGATTAATCAACAAATTAGAAAAATTAAGATGCCTCTTCACTGCATAAGCAGTCAGAAAAAATAAATAAATAATAATTCACAGAATGACAATCCTCTGGACTCCTTAATAACATTAGAGACAGGTACAGAGAATGTGGTTATATAGTGGTATCTTACTCCATATATATATTCCCACATCCTTTATTATGAGAAAATAAGGGTTTGGCTGCACTCACTTACACATGCTAAGTTAGAGTGCTGCTGGGGGCCAATAAGTACAGTAAAAATGAAAATCCAGCGCACTCGCTTATCTACTAAACAGTCTCTGCAGTACAATGCTTAAATAGGATCCTGAGATGAGGCACTTGTAACCTCAGGATCCTATTTAAGCATTGTACTGCAGAGACCTCGAGATGGAAGGATTTCCCCAAGTGAGAAGCTCATTTAGCAGACAGAGTAGGACCTGCCAAAGATGGGGTACATTGGTGTTGTGGCAGGCTTATGCAATGTATGATCATATACTGTAACTAAACCCCCATTATATTTTTTTGCCTAGATTAGGTGTTTTTAATAAAACTGAAAATTGTTCAGCATTAAAATGACTGTTTAGTAGATAAGCGAGTGCGCTGGATTTTCATTTTCACATCCTTTATTATGAAATGGAAGAATTACTTTAAGTACGTCATAGAAAGTGGCCCAACATTAGCTCCAAGCCCTCTTACAGTTGTAAAGGAGAAACAGACATGGGTTTAAAGTTACATGCTGCTCAATTAAGCTACCCTCCCAGATACAGTACTAGGGTACTATACCGTCACTAGCTCTACATGTATAACTTTAAGAAACTGAAAATAAAGAACTGATTATACGATAAGCTCAGCAGTGCTGTAGACACTTAAGTGAGCAAGTCTGGAAAACTGCATAACTTCAAATGTAAAAAAAATAAAAATAAATAGAAAATCTTTATTTTTAATTTATTGTTTTGGTATTTGCATATATAGCATTGGGGCAAAAAGTAAACCCAGCCTAATTGTCTCCAAGATTTTTCCTTCCTGCATTGCATAAATGATAGGAGGTCTATTAAATCTATTAAACCTCAGTAGACGGTACAGAGAACGGGTTATGAATTAGATCATCTTTAATACCAATTAATGTGTATATATAATTTGTTATATACCTGTCTCTGGTTGCTTTGGCCAGTTTGTCTTCAGATTTTCGATCATGAGTTTCTAATCCCAACATAAAACTTCCCCGGCCAAGCTGGGCTTCGGACTGCTCAAGCTTTTCTGACAAGTCAAATACCTGCCCTGTTGTATAGTCTGCATTCTGAAAAGATATACAAAACAAGAGAAAACTTAGACATGGAAAAAAATACACACAATATATATATATATATTTTATTTATATTACATTTCCCGCTCCCCTTAAATTCGACCTATATTAACAATAAACCAGTAAATGAATAGCCCAAAAAAATTACAATAATACACTGCCCAGTTGTAGTTCCAAGTGTGTTTCAGTTAGGTTAGCAAAAAAAACCCCCCCAAAAAAACAAAACAAAACACAAAACACATACTTCTAAAGGCTTCCTGTTTTGAGTAATCATATTAAATGTACACAAATTATCCAACATACTTATCCCATAGTTGTGGAACTACAGCTCTTGTGATGCTCAGGAAAACATACTTATTCTACCAGGACCATTTGTTGAGCATCACAGGGCTATTTCACTAGCTGATTGACACACATCTACAAACTATTCAGTTAATCAAGAGTTGAAAGCGTAAATATGGACCAAAGACTCTATATTGAGTTCAGTAGCACTGTGACATCTCTAATCCATTTAAAGTGTGCACAGTACATGGATGCAATAATATGGAGGATAAGGAACTACAGCATAGTGTTTACCTAGGCATTAATGTACATTAGCCATGCTTTCTACCATTCTAAACGCACAATGTTTAACTAAAGTCAGTCCACGTTGTGAGAAAAGGCAGGGAATGTGATCCAATCACTCTGCACGCCTCATACTGTTTGCTGTGACCACAACAGCCTTAATAAATACAGCTCTTAAATGCTATTGCCCTCCTTTGTAAAGCTCTCCTCTAAATAGGTTTGGTTTGTCTGTACATACCAAGCAAGACCTTGCAAAGAGGGAGACTAGAAGGTGTATGTTGAGCAAAAGTAAAGTAGCATTACACGTGTTTACCAAGCCTTGCACAGCTACTGGCCCGTAAACAGTTATATTGTGCAACTTGACTATGATGTGGCTGCTGGAGAGCGCGAGTCAAATTACAGGCAATCATCATACTACCCTTTAAATAATGAAAATGATTTAGAAAAAGCTAAACAATTTGCCTTATTGGAAAGATTTGTAAGCTTTTTAGCTTAAAATTTAGCTATTCCAGTTTTCGAGTTATTACATTTCTCCAAATTGGAGAGGGAGACAGTAAAATGGTTAAGCTCCAGAGTATGTATATAAAAAATAAATAAACAAACAATTGTTTAAACACTAAAAACAGTGATAGTAGAGGTTATGCTGTAAGTATGGCTACAGTCTGGCTTTCTCCCAGCATTTGAAGCTCGCCTTCCCTAGTGCCAAATTCAGAAAACAATGATAGGCTATGAGCATTTGGTAATGTGAAATAGATAAAATAGGCCAATAAGATTGCACAGGAAGAGTGTGCGCTATTTGTAGAAGTTAGATACATCGTTATATAACCTCCATAACATATTTAATTATTACATATGTCTACAATAGAAATGCAAGACGACATTTTCATTGTATCAGATTCATGTCTCAGTCCATAAAAATAGAAATGTTACCAAAATGTTAGGTTACGCAAAACTGGCACTATTAAGCCCGCTGTTTAATTCCACTGTTAGTAGTAAAGAAACAAGGACTTGTTGGTCAAAACAGCAAAGCAACATGAATATTTCCAATAAACTGGAAGTAACTTTTCTTTTAATGTCACAAAATCTTCAGTAATTTTACATCATTAATGAGAAGAGGAGAAGTATTCATGCCAAGTATTCAGTTACTATTCCTGTTGCCATGAGGGACAACAGATTAATTACATGTGATGCAGTGGGAGCTCGGTTTTGCAAGGTTTACAACAAACTACAAAAAGTAAGAATCTATGGCTTTATTGCAGAGGAAGGTCAATTGCTTAGTAATTCTACTCTAGCTTTAAACAAAAATCCCTCAATACTGTTGTAGACTTGGGACAGAAACTAGCATAGCAAAATCAAGATAAAATCTAAATCAAGATACATAAACTTGTTAATCTCATACTGGCAAACAACGCTCAGTTAATAATAATAATAATACTCCACTGAGGACTACTATGTAGACGTTTAAACAAACAGAGTAAGAAACTAAAAAATAGGCATTTACCCAAGTACGGGAACAGAGGGGCTTTGGGCTAGAGCCAAGGTCAGTAATAATTAGTGAGGTCAATGACCCAGCGACCTGCCCTTGTCACAAAAATAAAGTACAGCAAATGACTGTTTTCTAAAAGCATACTATAGAAAACAAAAACCCACACCACTAGGGAAACTATTTTCAGCACAATTTGTGATTCTGAAACAACCAAAATCCTTTCCGGTCTGTTATGCACGGGATATTGAGCAATGGGACAAGGAGGCTAGCACTCCTGTATCTAGCTATTTTACATACTGTTATTATTTCATTATTTTTAAAACAACTCACCAATATACAACGCTGGACCATCCATTGGGAAGCACTCTCCTATTTCCTTAGACCTCTTTTTAATACCCTTCCAAATCATCCTTGGACCTGCAAATACTTTACCCACTATAAAATAGTGTTTTGCTTTTTTTTTTTTTTAGTTTAAGGGTTACTCCAACTTGTCCCATCATGACCACTTCTGTGAATTAAAGTGGTCATGGAGGTGGGATTCAGTACTTAGTGTTTCTACCTGAAATGTTGTACATATAGAGTGAACTGCAATTTTGTGCCGAGGGTTGATTACACCCCTGGCACATGTGACTTTGGCAACCTGAAACTGTATTCTGGACTGCCAAATGTAAATTCTGCATAAAATACCTCTGTCGTCAGTGCGCCCAGAATGCTGGCAATAGAACTTGCAGTTCTACTTACCTGAACCTGTCCCTCGTGGGTTCCTTCTTTCTCTGGTGGGTCCTCTTCAGCTCCTGGTGCTTCAGCACCAGGAGCTGATTGATGTCCTTGCTGTACTCTCATTTAGGATCATGTGAGACCGCGGGTACCACCATAAACAGAGCCAATTGCCTGAGGAAATTGACACTTCCAGACGGCGGTAGCTCTGCCCAGTGTCTAAGAAAGTCATGCATAGGAAAAGTACATAAGACAAAATATTCTAAAAATGGATGAAAAATTTAAAAAACTAGAATACAAAAGAGGAAGAGATTGGGAAAAGGCAAGTACTGTGGGACAGTGTTGCTTTAAAAAGGTTACTGTTAAAAAGGACACTCCACTGCCAAAAATAAATATGACTGTTTAGTAGATACAACCCATATCAAAACATGCATGCATTTAATTATGCATTTTTACACTGGACCTGGTCCATAGGCAAGTATAGTGCAAGGAATACAACGTTGTATTCCTAACACTATAGAATTCCTTTTATCAATTCCAAGTGAGGAGTTAGACTATAGTGCTGACCAGTAACCGGTTACACATGCTTTGAGTGATTTAGCTTGTCGGTCACTTACAGTTAGCAAGCTGGAAGAACTCAGTGTATTAACCCAATACTTGTTCCATAAAAGCTCAAGTAGCTTGCGATCTAGGGAAGACTTGAAATATGTAACCTCCAAGGCATAATATCTGGAAATCACAAAAGCAGACTGTTAGAATATGATAAGCATTATGCATAGGTTAATTAATAGACAAATAGACAAGGCATTAGAGAACCATGTTGCAAGGTTTTTAAATCGATTTTCTGTAAACTGAAAGCATTCATTATGAATTTATGCAGATATTCATTCATTTGCCATCAATAAGATTAAAAGATATGCCAATTTGAAGTTGTAACACTTTTATGAGAAGAATCGATCTCTGGATTTTAAAACATCATGTTTGAGCAGATCAGAGTATAAACATCAACATTTGGTCATTGACATTGCACACTCTGGTGAGAAAAAAAACTCTCTGGAATCTATTCTAGAAAGGCACACCAAGGTCTCACTTTAGTGCATAAGTTCTAGAAGAAAACTGGAGCAACATAGGATCATCTGATTGGTGTAAAAGAGCTAAACAGAACATCGTCAGTGCATCTCCTCCTATACAAAGGAATGTGATAGTGGCTTTGATAGTGCAGACACACTTACTGTTTGCAATGCACCCCAAAATCCTCAATTTTGTTTAAAGGAATTGTCTGGTACTCTGACGGGCCTTCATCTGGTGGTTTGTAACCCTGTGAAAGACGTGTTTAGATTACTCATTACATAGCACAAAACAGACTCTGGGGGAAAAAAAACACGCAACTTTTAAGCATACATACAAACTAGACATGTGCATTCGTTTTGGTACAAATAAGATTTCGTCAAACAATTCGTTTTTTTCCCTGAATTCATTTACTAAAACGTAAACGAAATCCCTACATACGAAATATAAACCGAATGCATTACCTTTTCTGTACTTTCTTTTAATAGACTACGTGCTGCAGGGGAATTAACCCCCACAGCACGGAGAAAATAGAACTGTGCATGCACGAAAACAAACAAAAAAACAGGGAGCCAGCAGCGCTACCAGCAACCTCCTTGTAATAAATATTAATTTCTACCCCCCATTAAAACCTATTGGGGTGACTATGACCCCCATATTAATAAAAGGGAGGATAAATACACAGATTAGAACACTATGGCAATGCAATAGTGTAACAGTATATTTATACAAAATGCACAATAAATTGCAACAGTTAGATAATGTAGCAAAAATAGGTATCAAAAATAATAATAATAATCCTATAGGACCTCAGAGCCTTATTTTTGCTACATTATCTAACTGTTGCAATTAATTGTGCATTTTGTATAAATAGACTTGTGACGAAAGTAACATCGTCACTGGCTTTGCTGGCCAGCCTCTTGCTTCAGGACTATGGGCCCTATAATATACATTGCCCAATGCATTTTAAAAGGCTCAGTTCATGTGAAGTATGTACTTTAGTACTCCAGACAGAGAGACCGACCATTAGCCCTAATTCTCTGGAACGGTTTTGGGCATGGGACCATGTGCACGGTGGATCAAAAATAAGACTTCCAGGAATTTCCTGAACCCCTGAACTGATCTGGGTGATTTTTGGATACGCTGGTCACCCAGATCAGGGGATGTAACATTTGTGGGGTTTTATGTATTTTTAGTGTACTTTTGGGGTATTTAAAAAATAAAAAGTATGTATATGGGAGTGTGACTTGGTGCTGCAGTTCCCCACAAGGTCCAGTGGGAGTGCCCCTTGCATGGGGACTTGCATATAAAGCTAGTGGTGGCTGCCATTAAACAGAATGCTTTACCCCTTCATGAAGTCTTGGCTCATGTTTGGGGGATTGGAGAACTACATACACTCTGGGGATTGCTATATCACAATACTCCATTGAGTATAATCACTAGCTCTTATAAGAGCTGTTCCTGCTACACTCTCTGGACTAGGAGAGGCCTACCCACTGGAAGCTGGATCCTGGTTTTGGGTCCAGGGTGGGTAGAGGACGGCGAGACTCCAACCAAGCTGCGGCGGTTCGTGGGGTTTACGGTGGTTATGGTGTTCCAGTGCAGTGCTTATGGTACTCGCAAGTGCTAGGAAGCAGCGATTGACGGAGGTACCTGGTTGGGGTGCCAGGCGGTCCGTCACAACACTGTTTCACAATTGTATTGCCATAGTATACTAATCTGTGTCTGCATTAAATGCATAGATTGTAGGGGGACCTTAAATGATTAAATAATAGGGGGAAACTAATGCCCCTCCCCAGGTCCCCATCCATGAGCGGCGGGTGGGGACCCTAATTAAAGGGGGGACTGATGTCCCCCCTGGTCCCCACCCATGAGCGGTGGGTGGGGACCCTAAATAAATAATAATGGGCAGACTAGATGAGCCGAATGGTTCTTATCTGCCATCACATCCTATGTAATGGGGGAACCCCATGAGTGGCGGGTGGGGACCCATATTCATCAAAGGGGGGAACCTAATTAAAGGGGGGAACCTAATGTCCCACTGGTACCCGCCCATGAGCGCGTGGGTGGGGACCCTAAATAAATCTAATGTCTAAGTAAATAAATAATGGGGGGGACAAAAGAAGCCGAAAAAAAAATAAAAAAAAAACCTTCCCATGCTCTGCAATTTGACTTAGAGCACTCTCTAATTGGTTGATTCCAAGCTAACCAATCAGAGTGCTCTGACAGATAAATGAAGAGACTGACCCCCATTTTAGTTATGACGGCTCCCCACCATGGGGGAACAGGGGGTATAGCAGCCCAGTCACTAGTAGTTTTAAATAGCCAGTGGCTGCTCGCTGTTTAGGCAACATGCCCCTACTTGCAGCATGCCACGAGTAGGGGCATACGAGAGGATTTAACCTCTCTTATTAATATGGGGGTCATAGACCCCCATACGGATTTATATTCAGTTGAAATTATTGTTTAGGCGACATGGCGCGAATAGGGTCATGCGGTAGGATTTAACCTCCCTTTTATTAATATGGCAGTCACAGTGGACGAAAACAAATTATTTTTTAACGAATTTCGTCCGAAAAACGAATGGTTTACGGACTAAGTTTGTAATTGATTAATTACATTTTTATTACGAAATATTTTGATTCGTACGAAACGAAAATTTCACTGGTGCACATGTCTAAGCAAAGAATGTTATAGGCTGGAGAAGAATTCTAAATCTATCATCTAATACAAAAAACAAACAATCACTTTTACAACCTATATCATTGTGTGCACACTCACACACAGCTAGTAACTGACAGAACACACTTTTGCCTCCAGTATAGCTGGTTTGCAACATGTATTTTACTTTGTATTGGGAATTGTATACCATGACCCTGATAATTAGAAAAGCAAATATTTACCTTTGGATATGTCCTGAATGCACCTAGATTAACCTTTCCAGCAGATATTGTCCTGGTTGGGTCAATCTAAAGAAGAGAATGCTGGGTAAGGTTGGATTTCAAACAATAACTCTGAAGAATTAAACACACAAGATCATTTATATGAAACAAAAATAATATACACACACACACGGAATAGCCTTCCAGCTGAAGTGGTAGAGGTTAACACAGTGAAGGAGTTTAAGCATGCGTGGGATAGGCATAAGGCTATGCTAGTTATAAAATAAGGCCAGGGACTAATGAAAGTATTTAGAAAATTGGGCAGACAAGATGGACCGAATGGTTCTTATCTGCCGTCACATAATACATACATACACACACACACACACACACACACACTACTCACCACAACTGCTACAAAGGGTTCCTGAAATTGCTGATTAAGCATCTGAGTGCTGACATCTATTCCTGAAAGCCAGCATCCATAACCAGGATGACTGTGGTACCAGCCAATTGCATTCTCAAGCCTTCCAACCTAAGGGATAGAAATATATTCACAAATTATCTGCTGCCCTCTGCTGTTAGAACCATGTTATTTTTATACCTTTACCATTTTATTCCCATCAGATCTAAATTTAAAATCTCATGGCGTGATACGACAATTTTAAAATAACCTGGACAGGAGAACAAAAGAACATAAATCCCATTTTACAGCGCTACAGAATTTGCTGTTGCTCCCCTCCCCTCTCCCTTTAAAAAAAAATCAAAAAAAAAAAAATCACATAATTGTCCAATGAGTCCTTCAATTAAGGGATTTTAAATGGGAGAGGGGAGGGAAGATTTGGCTGTATTTGATTTTTCTCTATTGGTAATTTGCGCAAGAGCAGTCAGTGTTCCTGAGGAAATCCCTGGAGGGACGAAACGCGTAGGACTGGAGAACTGACAACAGATTCATGCTTTTGACTGCCACATCTGCGGTTTTAAAATTACGTCAGCGAATAAAATTGATATGCACATTATTTAAAATTTGCACTCTTACTTTCAAATGGTCTTGAAACGGTCAAGGTTCTGAAGCAAAAGTGATCTCTTTATAGATTATCCGAAGGCTTGGAGATGGCATTTAAACCATTATTTATATAGTTTTGTATACAGTTAAACACTATGATGTGCCTTTCCCGTTTCCTCTAGCAGAATCACCCCTACCTTTTTGTTTTGTATCTACGGTTGACGATTAGAGGAAATCTTTGGGGTGGATTTACTGCCTAACGGAAGTTTCATTGATTTGATACTCAATTTCTGCACATAACATTTGCACTTTACTGTTTAATAGGTTGTGATGGTCACCACAGACATTGATATACTTTAGGAACCATGACCACTAGATGTGCTTGGAGTATCCCATTCAGAAAAGTCAAGACAGATACACAACTAAATATAACTATGAAAAGTTAACTGCTTGGTCGGTTTATGATAAAGTTATTTGATAAAGTGGAAATGTTGGATATTTTAGGAATTTAATTTGTTAGTAGAAACTCACACATATAGTTTCCGTTCAGGTAATTTTGTTGGGAAATCTGAGATTTCGTTGGTCAAACAATTCTCACTTTTTATTGCATTTATAAACTGAAATAGTTGATAAAACCCATGTATACTCATATTGCAACAAGCCATAACATACCTGCTTTGCATTTTCTATGTATGCCGCCATATATTCATAGGCAGCAGCTTGGGCATTGACTCTAGTTTCAGTTCCTTCAACTGGTAAAGCAAAACTATCCATAATGATCATGGTTTCACCATCCACTTTCCCCAGCATTAGGCCCATCACCTCCAGATTGCCTCCTGAGCGTGCATGCATGACCATCTTCAGCAGTGCCAGGGCAGATACCTTGCAATACTTGAAGTAATGGTGGCTGAGAAAAACAAACAAGCGAGTCAGGTACTTCCAGTCTGAGAATATTAAAATCCATCTTGGTCATATATTGTGTTTTAGTTTAGACTCTTCTCATGTTATCAGTCACTAGGGTACACATCAAACATGTTATCATTCCATAATACGTAAGATAATGACTTTTGTAATTTACACAATATTTTAAAAATAAAACATAACATTTAATTATAACAAAAAGGAACTAAGTGCTCTCTTTCATATGTCATACATGAAAGGCAAAGTACACGCAATATTCGGATTTATACCATTAAAAAGTTAAATTTAAAATAGTATCGGGTGGGGTGGGTTAAGATGATTAATTTGTTATACTACGGGGGGGGTTGATCTGCAATCACTCAAGTAAGGTACCAATCCATGAATTCAAAAGCAGCTTTAATTTTGGACTTGATTGCTAGATCTACAGAGTTAACGTAGAGTTGCCAGGTGAAAAAAAACAAAAAACAAAAAAAAAAAAACTTTTTTTGTCAAAGTGCTTTTGTTTAGTGAAGTTTCAATCCGATATTTTAAAATAGGTAGGATATTTTTGAGTGGAGAAGTGACAGTGGCGGAGGGAAGGTACCGATCCAATGGTATAATATACATTTACGTGCTGTAGCCAGGATCATATAGGCCAGAATAGGAACTCGTGGCCATATATTATCTAATATGACAATGAAAGTAACATTTATAAAGTTTATAGTAGCATAGGAAAATGCAGACTGTGTTCATGTCAAGTCTAGAGAATAAAAATCTAGTAGACCCATGGACAACAGGAAAAATCTACAGAAATTATGAAACTTTTTAGTGAATGTTTTAGCCTAAAAGTATGCCTTCGTTACAAGGCGTATGCATTAAAGGGACACTATAGGCACGACTTCAGTTCATTAAAGGGAGTCGGGCATGCCTATTCGCAGGTCCCTTAGCCCAGCAAAGGTAATGATTGCTGTTATTAATTAACTGCAATAATTACATTTATGGGTTAACTCCATCTCTACTAGCCGTCTACCATATAGCCACTAGAGGGCTTCTGGGTTGTTAGGCGACTTTTGGTTGCCTAACTGATGCTGGAAGACCTCACGCTATGCATAAGAACATCCTGCCTCTCCAGCATCATTAGAATGGGGAAATTCTAACGCGAGCGCGGCCATCTCCTCTGCTGGTGGATGTGTGTGTATGACTGACTGCCTGTGAATGTAACTGCATCTGTAAATGTGTGCGTGTGACTGTCTGTAACTGTGTCCATATGGCAGTCTGTCTGTAACTGTGCCTGTAACTGTCTGCCTGTAACTGTGTGTCTGTCTGCCTGTAACTGTGTGTCTGTCTGCCTGTAACTGTGTGTGTCTGTCTGCCTGGGACGGTTTATGTAACTGTCTGCCTGTAATTTTGTGTGTGACTGCCTGTACCTGTGTGCGTATGACAGTCTGTCTATGACTGTGTGTGAGACTGTCTGCCTTTGGTTGTGTGTGTTACAACCTGTAATTGTGTGTATGACTGACTGTGTATAGACCTGTCTGCCTGTTACGATGTGTGTGTGCGAGTGAGACTGCCAGTGACTGTATGTGGCTGTATGCATGCGAGTGGCTATGCGCCTGGAACTATGTGCATGTGGTTATATTTGACAGTATATGTTTCTAACTGTGTGCATCTGACTGTATGTCTGACTGATACTGTGTATATGTGACACTGCAAAAATACACACATGGGCCTACATACATTTTTTTTTTTTTTAAACACAATCATTCTATTTATGGACAAACATATTCTTTAAACCTAAAATATAATTATAGTCATTTTTAATGGGACTCTCCAGTGCCAAGAAAACATATCCCATGTTCTGAAGGGGATAGAACTCATTCAGTGACTTACCTGAATCCAGCGCCGATGTCCCTCGGGGCTGAGTCAGGCTCTGCCCGTGCTGTCCCTTCTCCCTGACGTCAGCTGGCGGAGGAGACCTAATGCGCATGCGGGGCAATGGCGGCGTGCATTAAACCTCCTATGGGGATTCCGGCGACGCATGCATAGCGTGAGGACGTTCAGTGTAGTTTAAAACACTTTTCGTATTCTAAAAACACGGAAGTCCCTCTAGTGGCTGTCTGATAGACAGCCACTAGAGGAGGACTTAACCCTGCAAGGTAATTATTGCAGTTTATAAAAACTGCAATAATTACAGTTGCAGGGTTAAGGGTGGTGGAAGTTGGCATGCAGATCACTCCAATGGGCAGAAGTGGTCTGGGTGCATGGAGTGTCCCTTTAAATTTTAAGTACTTAAAGTTTTATTTATAAATTGTACAAACTGTGCATCACGGTTACACATGAAATCCAGAAAAGGAGTTTCCAAGAAGAGTTCATCCAAACACATTGGGTTTACATTTATGGCAAAGGTGTACAAATATACTGCGTCATAGTGCTTATGTGGGTTGTTTGTTTTATTTTTGCATTACATTCGCAATGCCCATATTGTTTTAAAAAAAAAAAGTTTTTGTTTATTTTCAGTCGCACAGCAAATACATAACAATGACTTGCGTGTTTCGCAGGACACTTAAAAGGAACACTATAGTTACCTAAACAACTTTAGCTTAATGAAACAATTTTAGTGTATAGATCATGCCTTTCGGGTTTCACTGCTCAATTCACTGCCATTTAGGAGTTAAATCACTTTGTTTCTGTTTACGCAGCCCTTGCCACACCTCCCCTGGCTCTGACTGACACAGCCTGCATGAAAAATATGGTTTCACTTTCAAATCAGATGTAATTTACCTTAAAGGACCACTATAGTGCCAGGAAAACATACTCGTTTTCCTTGCACTATAGTGCCCTGAGGGTGCCCCCACCCTCAGGGCCCCCCTCCCGCCGGGCTCTAGAGAGTGGAAGGGGTTAAACTTACCTCTTTCTCCAGCGCCGGGCGGTGAGCTCTCCTCCTCCTCTGCTGAATGCACATGTGCGCGCGGCTCTTGCCGCACATTCAGCCAGTCTCATAGGAAAGCATTCACAATGCTTTCCTATGGACGCTGGCGTCTTCTCGCTGATTTCCACAGTGAGAAGCGCGGAAGCGCCTCTAGCGGCTGTCAACGAGACAGCCACTAGAGGCTGGATTAACCCTAATATTGTCAGAGTCTTACCTGGGTTGGGAGTCTGTAGCGCAGATATGTTGCTCACCCTTGCAGATAGCCACAGGCCAAGTTGGTCAGGTAAGAATTCACCCGGCCTGTGGGTCTGTGCACGGGGGCTGTGCAGGATGAAGTACCAAGTCACAGGACAGGCAAGGGCTCAAACAGGATCGTCAAGGGATAGCCGAGGTCAAAGGATGCCAGAGGACAGGAACAACGAGAAGTAGCCGAAGTCAAGGGATGCCAGAGGTCAGAGTAAACGTAGTCAGAAGCCGGGGTCAATAACAAGTAGCAGATCAAACGACAGGAACACTGGTACAAAGCACACAACAGGATCAAAGACTTGATCTGATCACAGGGCGAGGCTGAGTTTAAATACCCTGCTAATGTCTGATCAGGGTCAGGTGAAGCACAGCCAAATTCAAGGTAAAGCCCCCAGAGTAATAGACATGCCAGGATGAACAGGACCGGAATGACTTGTGGAATACAAAAGCTGCTGCTGCTCAGAGGTAGGAAGCAGGACCAGGACTGCAAAGTTCCCTGGTTCAAATCCATTGTTGGGAACTCCTTGGGCGACCACGTCTAGCCGTCTGTCTGCTGCGGTGAGAACCGTGACAAATATAAACATAGCAGTTTCTCTGAAACTGTTATGTTGATAGAAAAAAAGGGTTAAACCTAGCTGGACCATTAAGCTGAAGTGGTCTGGGTGCCTATAGTGGTCCTTTAAACAATTTATCTCTTGCTCTGTAAATTGAACTTTGATCACATACAAGAGACTCTTGCAGGGTCTAGCAAGCTATTATTATAGCAGGAGTTAAGACAATCTAAATTAAATAGAACTTGCAATAAAGGAAGGATAAACTTCAGAGTTCACTATACAGGATGTGTTTAGGAAGGCTCTGAAAGTCACATGCAGGGCGGTGTGACTAGGGCTACTAAACGAAGTGATTTAACTCCTAAATGGCAGATAATTGAGCATTGTGACTGTAGGGGCATGATCTACACACCAAAACTGTTTTATTAAGCTAAATTTGTTTTGGTGACTATAGTGTCCCTTTAACCCCTTAAGGACCAACCTTCTGGAATAAAAGGGAATCATGACACGTCACACATGTCATGTGTCCTTAATGGGTTAAGGAAACAGGCTGATTGGTTACAGCCATGCTTATTTTGTAAAAAGTAACATTCAATGATACACATTATTTGTAACAAGGGGTTGGGAGGGAACTAGGTGATGGTGCGTAAAGGCTCGCTTGTTGCTTTGCGAGGCATCTGAGGGTCTCCATGGTGTCCCGTAGGTCCATATGTTCCATATGGGTGTATCTTTTAGGTACAACATGGATTAACTGGCGGCAGGAACATTAAGTACGGGTGGCCAGGTGGGCCTCATACCCGAAGACATACAATTTAGAAAAGTACATAAATCAAATCCGTGCATATTTCAGATTAGTACATAAATCGCTGAAGTTAGGGCTGTCCGGGCACGGGTTTGCCTGGTCACATAGGCACTGTAGGTCATCATTTATGAATGTGTCCCACAGCGCCCAGGCTCTGTGCCAATAGGCCTTGTTTTGTCCGCTGCCTCTTGAGCGGCATTCATAGAATTTTGTGGTGTTGATTGCCTGGTGTAACAGGCTAAGGGGAGGGGCTCGGTTAGACAACCATGATTTGCCGATGGCCATTGGGGCTACGATAATGATAGGGTATGTAAGGTATTGTGTGCTTTTGGGCAGCCTTGGCGGCAGGAGAAGCAACAGGAAGGTCTCTGGTCTCAGCAGCAATGTGGCCTTGGTGCATGCATAGATTAGATTGGCGACATGGCTCCAGTAGGAGTGCAGGGCATTGCAGGACCGAAACGTGCGTACCATTGTGCCTATGTCTGTGTGGCATCTCCAGCATAATGCCGATTTTGTTTTGTCGGTGTGGTGCAAGCATGCTGGGACCATGTACCATCTGTAAAGTACCTTTATTGTGGTTTCTATGTGTTGTATGCATAGTGTCATTTTCCTATGGGCTTGGAATATATGCGCCCAGTGTGATTTATCTAGTTGTCTTGTATGTTCCTTCTCCCACTCCATGATGAAGGCAGGTTTAGACTGTTTATGTTGGTCCCGGATTATAGCATAAAACCGGGAGAGACGTTTAGTAGGCGGTTTCTTATTTAGGATAATGCTTTCCACCTCCGTCAGCTCTTGTCGATTTACACTCACTTGTTTGGGAGAGCAGTGTTTTCCCATCCATGATTTTATTTGGAGTTAGGGGAAATTTACCTGATTTGTGAGGTTGTATTTTTGTTGCAGGGTGTCAAATGGCATGAGTGTTTGTGAGTCTGATTTGGTTGAGATTGCTAATCCCTGCCATCTGCCATGGCCTGTGGTTAAAAATCGAGGATGAGCGCTGAGAAGGCTTCGATTGGTAAGGCTGGGGATATTGGGTCTCCCCTGTTGCATGTTGTGGAACTTACAAGACCACTAGATAAACCACTAGATTTTTTGAGTAATGTCTGTCATGGGTAAGAGTCTGTATGTGTTTTTGCGTAGGGTGGTGGGTATCCGTGCCAGAGAAGAGAGTCCCAACCCATCTATGTATGCCGCTTCAATTTGGGCCCGTGTCTACAATATGGGTAAATGAGCATTTTAGATGGGGTGCCAATTGGTTTGCATATGTTTTATAATAGAGGTTAGAGAGCAGGCAATGAGCGTATGATTAATAATTTCTTGTACTGGGATGGGGGCTTGGAGTTCAGTTTTTTGTGCCGGTGTCAGAGTTGGTAATGTCATGTGGCTCAGGAATTCTTCTATTTCAGACTTTGTGGGTTGGTGGGTGTTAGGGTCTTCGAGTAGGTTGTAGAGCAGGGGTCCTCAAACTCCGGCCCCCCAGTGGTTGCTGAACCACAACTCCCATGATTCTTTGAATTACATAGATAGCCAGAGAATCATGGGAGTTGTAGTTCAGCAACATCTGGGGGACCGGAGTTTGAGGACCCCTGTTGTAGAGTGTATGGTAGTATTGGGCCATTGTGTTGTTAATATCTTGGGGATTCAGGTTTTTGTCCCCGTCTGCGATATTAGATATGGAATTTTTGACTGGGCTTGTTTCTGGCGTAACGTAGAGGCCAGCCACTTGCCCGCCTTGATGTTCTTTGTCTCAGTTTATTTAGTGTGGTTATCGTTTTGGCTATAAGTATTTAATTGATCTGTGGCGGAGTCTATGGCCTCCTGGAGGGCCTTGGATGGTTGGGTTAGGAGGGCATTTGTATCATCTTGAAGTTTCTTAAATAAAGTGAGATACTCACTTTGTGGGTCCGTTGTATGTAGGATGTGTGGCTGATGATCAAGCCTCTTGTGACAGCTTTGTGGTCCTGCCATAACGTGGGTGGGTCTACTTCGGACTCATGGAGTTTTAAATATTCTTGCACCTGGCCTAGTAGTTTAGTGCGGAATTGTTCATTTTGTAGGAGAGAGTCGTTTAGGCGCCATGGGGTTTTGACTCTAAAGTTGAAGGCATCCTGCAGATCCATGATTATTGGGCTATGGTCAGACCACAAGATGTCTACCATAGTGCATGTTTGTATGTGTGGTAACAATTTGCCAGGTGTTAGGATAGCGTCTATGCGGGAGTGTGTATTGTGTACTTGTGAATAAAAGGAATAGTTCCTGTCGTTCGAGTGGAGTGTGCGCCAGATGTCATAAGCCAAATTCCACGGTAAGTGCTGGTGTAGTGTCTATGGTTGTGTTGAAGTCCTGATTGAGGTCTCCACAGATAATAAGGGAATTAGTCTGTAGTGAGGGCAGTTTGGATAGAACTTTGTGAAGGAAGTTCCGTTGGTGTAAGTTAGGTCCCACCAGGGTGTGTATGGTTTCATTTAGTTTACAGTGCACGATGATGTAGAGGCCTTGACTATCTTGTTTGATTTGGAATAGTTCAAAGGAGATGGAGGAGTGGAATAGGAACAAGACTAGTCTTCGAAGTGTGCGTGGCGTGGTACTGAATCGGGTATTCACGTTTGCCAAATGTGGGGATTTTATTTTTCAGGAAAATGGGTTTCCTGGATGCACACAATATCTGCTTTGAGCTTCCTCTAATAGAACACATTGTTTGTGGGGTGTGTTCAGGCCCCTGACATGATGGGAGTCAATGCGCATAGTTGGTGGGGTTTGTTGAAAGTTTGGTACCTATTTATTTGCCAGGGAACATGCTTGGCTTGTGTGACCTTTTAAGTATCCATTTCCTGAGAGGACTGTGTGTAGAGCCTTGTAGTATCAGACATCCCAGCGACTGCGGGGAGTGGGGTCTCCCCCCTATGTATCTGGGTTGGCTTTAATGTTGGAGACTCGTGAGGTTCAGCACCTTGAGGAGAGGAGACATTGGGTTTAGGGATGTGGGGGTTAACAAACACATACAACGTAGTCCTGGTGTAGACTCAGATATGGGAAGCCCACATTGGAGGAGTAGGGCGTTGTAATACATCTACCATTGTGTGGCTTTAAGAGCTTCTTTGCTCATGTGGGGTGGAACGTTGGGAGGTGAGACTGCATAAAGTGTCAGTCATAGACAGAACCAAACCTCTTGTGACCTAAAGAATTCTTTTAGGTTTCATTTGGTTTACAAGAAACTAAACCAACATTGTGGCCTCTTTTACTCTGGGACAGCAGTCTCCCGTTCTAGTATTTGTCACAGGCGACCATGTGGTGGCGGGGAGGGTGTGTGCACGTTGTGTTGTGAGGATTTTAGTCACAAGTCAGGGCATTGTAGTGAGTGTGTTCCTTCTAGCTAGTGGGGCATGCCAATTTTCTCTTTGGAATGCAGCATGATTGTGATTTTAATTGTACCTGCATGGTTTCCCATACACAGCATTGCAACATACGGCATAAGTTTACCGCCACCAATTCCCCGTCCACCCGAACAGACCCGCATCAGGAGAGCTAAACATTATTAAAGAATACAATGCAAACAGTTAAAACATGAACGTTGGGCATTATATGTGGTGGGTCAGCATTAAGGCCCCGTAAACCCTCTCGCACACCGTGTGTGCTCTCTTAACAATAGAGACATTAGCATTCATCGTAACTCTGTTAGCGGACAGAAGTTCCATTAAGGCCGGTTAGTGTTTGGGGCAAGTGTTAGTCCACAACATATGGAGTGCAGAAGGCTGCCTACCCCTGGGAAATAGATTCATTGCCTTTAACAGCTGGTTCCAGCATCCTACTCTATCGGGATCTCTGCCCTTATAGTTAATTACAGCTTCTAAACCACTGTATTTGCAGATCATACTCCAAATAGCCAATCTCAGCAACCTGATCCCTGTCTACCCAGAGCCCTGCCCTGAAAGCAGATTACAGCTCCTCACCCTTATTAGCACCCTACCCCCTACTACTGTCTATCCCTCCCTCACCCTGGGTAGTACCCTAATCCCCTACTACTGTCTACCCATCCCTCACCCTAGGTAGCACCCTATTCCCCTACTTCTGTCTATCCATCCCTCCCCCTGGGTGGTACCCTAATCCCCTACCACTGTCTATCCATCCCTCCCCCTGGGTGGTACCCTATTCCCCTACTACTATCTATCCATCCCTCCCCCTGGGTGGTACCCTATTCCCCTACCACTATCTATCCATCCCTCCCCCTGGGTGGTACCCTATTCCCCTCCCCCTGGGTGGTACCCCATTCCCCTCCCCCTGGGTGGTACCCCATTCCCCTCCCCCTGGGTGGTACCCCATTCCCCTCCCCCTGGGTAGTTCCCTATTCCCCATACATACATACAGGCTCAGGCCCTGGTGGCCCATTACAGTTTCCAGCCCATACATTCAGCCCCCTGACCCCATTCTTACTCTTTGGTCCAGGGTTTGGCTGCCAGGATCTCCTGCTGCTGTTTCTTGTCATATTTGTAGATCTCGTCGATGCTCTGCACCTCCTGCATGTTGTTAGACATGTCCCAGGTTTTCTGGGCCACACTGCTGCCGGCAGCCATGTCTGCAGTCCCAGTCCCTCCCCGTGACCGCCGAGTCTGGCAGCCGGGCTGATCACACGGGCGAGCTCACTCACAGGCAGCAGGGTGCACACTCTTCTTTCAAAGCAAAAGGCAAGCAAGTTTTTTTTTAATTAAGGAATCCCATTGCCCATACCTATAATAAACTACACAGAATAACAATGCCTTATTGGAATATCACAGGCTATACGTACAGCAGATTCGTGACTGGCTAGTCAGCACCAAACACCCCTCTAGGAAAGCATTGGTATATTCCATTGGGAAGCTGCTATTGCTTAGAGATAATTGGAGCGCCCCCTGGCGAGAACAATGATAACAACAATAACACAGTGTTTATTGGCTGAGCTAGAGGGAGCAATGGCTCACTGTGAGCAGTGTGTGAAACCAGTCACTGAGTGATAACCTGCTCCCTGCTGTTTAACGTCCTAAAATCTCCAAATACCTCCCTTTATTTCTTTAGGAATTGTTTTCCCTGGAAAGAATATATTTAGGTTTTTATTTATTTATTTATGTTGCAGGAGGGCAAACCATATACAGTATTAAACTGACTGTATATAATACCATGTACACAGTGTATCACTCAGACTGTCTGTACAAACTGCTAGTTACAGAACATGTAAACAGCTGGGAGATTGCAGAGCTATTCACTCCAATTAAATGATTTGTCAGGAATGGACCAGCTGACTTCACATTTCTGACCAAAATAGCTAAATAAGAGAGATCTGACAACTATTTATGACTATTTTTCACCTAAAATGGTTGATTTCCAGCTAGGTCCAATCCCATTTTATCTAATATCAATGTTGATTTTTATTGAAGCCTGAGGTGTGTGCCACCTGCTGGGCTACAAATACCAGCTGTGCTTGTGCCTTATGCCAAACCCGTCTAATAAGAGCCACTATGGACAGTTAAGTCCAGTCTCTCTCTTCCCCCCCCGCCCAGATAAGATAAGTCCAGAGAACTCACACCCACTTGCAGCCATAGACATAGTATTCTATGCTTGCAGCTTCCCAATGGAATATACCAACGTTATCTGAGAGGGGGGTATTTTAGCAGGTAACCCAGCTTCTTGCGTTCCAGCTAACAGTGCAATGCAATCCTCCAGCCAGCAGGGGGGGATCTTATCTTAGCCTGTATCGGGGGAGGGGCTCAGCTGTAAGCCGGGGGCGGGGCCTGTCACCACAGAGACACACAGCTAACGGCCGCATACACACACTGGGCAGGCTGGTCCGCGTGATCCCAGGCGGCTCACTGTGCAGGTAATGGCTGCAGTAATGGCTGCTATGGCACCTGGCTGAGAGTGATGTGAGTGTGTTGTGTCTGCCAATCATTGTAGGGGGCGGTTAGTGTTCGCACTTGGTTTATATGGAGGGGAAGGGGGGGATATAGTTTGCTAGTTCAGCTGGCTGAGCATTATGGGACTTGTTGTCCATAACAGCTGGGGAGTCACATGCCCATAGTGACTGTAATGTCTGTGTAATGGTCTCTTATAGGGAGAGCACTGTGTGCACCGTGTATACCAACACACAGAGGGTTTATTAACTTTATAGCTCACTTTGTGTTATATGAAAACTTAATAGAGAGACAGCTATCACTTTAATAGAGGAACAAAAACAGCTATCACTTTAATATAGTAACAAAAAGCTATCACTTTTAATATAGTAAACAAAAAGCTATCACTTTTAATATAGTAAACAAAAAGCTATCACTTTAATATAGTAATAAAAACAGCTATCACTTTAATATAGTAATAAAAACAGCTATCACTTTACTATAGTAACAAAACACAGCTATCACTTTAATATAGTAACAAAACCCAGCTGTCACTTTAATATAGTAACAAAACCCAGCTGTCACTTTAATATAGTAACAAAACCCAGCTGTCACTTTTAATATAGTAACAAAAACAGCTATCACTTTAATATAGTAAACAAAAAGCTATCACTTTAATGTAGTAAAAAAAAAGCTATCACTTTAATATAGTAAAAAAAAAAGCTATCACTTTAATATAGTAAAAAAAAAAAAGCTATCACTTTAATATAGTAAAACAAAAACAAAAAACTATCACTTTGTACCCCAGTTATAACAGACAGAATTCTGTATGTGTGTATGTTTTAATACTGCTCCTCTCCCTTATAAGTATCCCATAGAATGTTACCGTTCATGTATCTTTAACACAAAATGATACTTGTCTCAGATATCTTGCATCCTGCATGAGGGTTTAGTTCAGGCTATATGTAAACTAGTTCAGAGATATGTGTGTGTGTGTGTGTAGCTTGCATATTTGGTGATCAGCTTTATCAGGACTCAAGTGTTTCTTTAGTAAACATTGAACGGCTGTGAACCAATAAGTTGTAGCAGATTTGGAGGTTTAGTTTCCCCCAACTCAGCTATTTTGGCTGCACTTTACTGTTTGAATGAACCCTAGTATGTGAGGTTCAACTGGGTTGTATGAGCTGAAACATGCTGTCTGTGGAATTGCCAGTTTAACCATAATTATAAAATACATGCAATAATTGTGTCCAAGTATAATCCTTATTGAGACAGAATTGATCTGTTAAACATGGCTGTTATGGTTATTGACTAAACTCTTAATTGGCCGCTTACAGTTTAGTGAATTATGCAAACTCCTAGTGATGAATCTTGTACCACTTTCAGTTCTGTGGAATTCTTATGTGTTCATGTTTTTAGTTTGCATTCTTTCAACATTTTTAGTGTTATTGACTGCCTGCCTCTCTGAGTCATGTTATGTCTAAATGAATTCTTATGCATGATTTATAAACAAGATAAGATGGCAAGTTATATAGTTTATTTACAATAGGCTCTAGAATTTGTATAGAGTTGATTTTGCAAACTGTTGCATCACTAGTTATATTAAAAATGTAGTTCTCTATCTGCTGAGCATGAAACAACCCTGGGCATTAGCCTCTGCCATGCAGGTATGCTGTGTTGAGATTTCTTGTGGGAGAAAGGTAACAGTTGGATTTTGCACTTGACTTTTAAACTACCTTATTTGCATCCTATTCTGTCCAGAAAAGATCCTGTTGTATTGAAAAGAGTAAAGTGGGGAGTGGAAGGAACTCTGCAAGCATCATAACCACGATAATCTCTTTTTAGTACAGTTCAAACCCTTTCCAATGCCAAACCATCCTCCTTGGCTGAGATTGCTCAGCCAGTGAGCTTGGCCCTGCTTAACTCTGTAGAGCTAACCAGACATTCCTAAAAGAAAAGACTGGAAACATTGGCTACAGATGTGGGCATCGAGCAGGACCCATGCTAAAATGGTTTGATTACGTACTATGGGACAAAACCTGGGCTTAAAGTGTTCCTTTAATTGACAAGTTATAGCCTTTTAAAAAAATCCTTTAGCTGATTTCAAAGAGGTTAAAATCACTCTCATATCTGAGTTTATTTCCACTCTCTAGTGGGTATTATTTAATTATTAATTGCCATATGGGGATTACATTTTTAAAGGAATACGCCAAGCACTATAACCACTACAGCCTTATGCATCCTACCAGGGTGAATATTCAACAATTTATCTGGGGTCATTCAGGTGCCTTTTGTAATTTCCTCTTCAGCCAGAAGCACCTTCACTGAGCTAAACCCAGCAGTGCAGGGAGGCACTCAGCTGATGCAGTAAACCAATGAGCTGACCCTGCACCTCAGTGTTTAGTTCAGTGAAGCTCATGGAAGCACCTTGCAGGAGGTGACTGGCACCCGGTTCATTCCACATAAGTTGTCAAACCATTCTCAAACTGCTTGACTGCATACCCTAGGAGGGTGGGCTGTAGTGATTATAGTGCTCTCCGCGTTCCTTTACTTCTGACATTTATTAAAAAAACAAAAATGCATTTTTAAATCCTTGGTGATGGAGGCAATAGTACTACTTTTGAACCAAAACAACACCTAGAATTTGTTTGTTCCACCTTTAATTTAAAGGTGTAAAGCACTTCTCTTAATGTGTCAAAAATAAATATGATGCAAGTAAAATATTTCTTAGGCACTATATAGGATAATTTGTTACATTGATTTTATTTTTACTTTGTTGTTGTCGATACTTGGGGAAAAAGCCAGAGAAACATAAGCTAGTGTGATGCAGAGTGCCAGAAGCATCAGATTCCTCAGTCTACATTTTAGGCTGCAGCTATAGTTGAATTTAATGCACTTTAACAGTGTTATCAATTAATAAAGTACTGTTTTTGTTTGTTCTTCTTTTACGCTTGGCTGTATATGGTCTTGTACCAGAAACTAGTAGCAATATACAGTGGATTCAACAATTTGCAATGTAGCTAACACACCAGAAAATGGTAATATTGTGAATCTGTCCGCATAGCCAATTCCAGGAGACCAGACTACTAATGCAGTATATCCACTCTATCTCTGTAGAGTGAGCTAATAAAATGTCTGTCTAGTGATGCTGTAGATCAGAGTTTTAAACACACAACCCACAACAAACTAACCATAGTCTGTCACACATGCAGTTTGTCTACACACATGCATGCCTTCACACTGTTTAATTATTCTATCTCTGCCCTCTGATGCTCACCTCTGTCAGTGATGAATTTGGAGGAGGAAATCAAAATGAATATCCTTATTCCTGCTATGTGAGGTACCTGTGAGTTTACACTGTGTATATCCTTATTCCTGCTATGTGAGGTACCTGTGAGTTTATACTGTGTATATCCTTATTCCTGCTTTGTGAGGTACCTGTGAGTTTACACTGTGTATATCCTTATTCCTGCTATGTGAGGTACCTGTGAGTTTATACTGTGTATATCCTTATTCCTGCTTTGTGAGGTACCTGTGAGTTTATACTGTGTATATCCTTATTCCTGCTTTGTGAGGTACCAGTGAGTTTATACTGTGTATATCCTTATTCCTGCTTTGTGAGGTACCTGTGAGTTTATACTGTGTATATCCTTATTCCTGCTTTGTGAGGTACAGTGAGTTTATACTGTCTATATCCTTATTCCTGCTTTGTGAGGTACCAGTGGGTTTACACTGTGTATATCCTTATTCCTGCTTTGTGAGGTACCAGTGAGTTTATACAGTGTATATCCTTATTCCTGCTTT